GGCGGCGGCGGCGGCTAAGATGGCGGCGACGCTCTCTCTCGGGTCCGGCGAGGGTACCCGGCCGGGGGCGGGGTGGCGGCGGGCGGGGCGGGGAGGGAGAGCGCGCGCGCGCTCCCGGCCCCGCGGGTGCGCGAGCCCACGGGCTGAGCCCGCCGTGCGCGCCTGCGGGCACGCGCCGAGGAGGGCTGGCCGCAGAGCAGCCGGGCGGGGCGGGCAGGACGCGCCCCCTGCCCGGGCCGCCCGCGAGCATCCGCCCCTCCGCCTCGCGCGCGCCCCTGGACGCTGCACGTGGAGGCCCCCCAAGGCTCCTGGGGGCCCCGAACCTAAGGTCTTGCTCTTCCACCCCCCAGAACTGTGATCCTAGGGCCTCCGCGCTCCAGCACCCGGTCACTTCATCCAAGCACCTCAGTGACCTCTGCCGAGTGGAGGTGATGAGCGGAGCTTGTGAGGTCCGGAAAGGCTGCGGGGACACAGCTCGCCCCGTTTGTTTGGTAAACAGCCTAGGGTGGCTGCACTTCTTCCCCAGCAACAGCCTCGGGGTTTGGAAAAGGACTGCTGTCTCCAGGGAGCCCTGATTTACCGCAGAAACCTTTTTGTGGTTATAGGCTTGAAGCGCCCCTGAGACGATTCTAAGTTTCCTTTGGGAAGATGGAGATCCAAAAGCAGGGTCCCTTCCGGGGTCTCTACGGGTTCTCTGGGGTCCGTCCCTTTTCCTTGTGTCCTTATCTACTTCCTGTAATCTGGGGACACACGCACTGCCCCTCGCTAGAGGAGAGGGTCGGCAGAGTCGTGGTGGGCTTCAGTGAGCACCGCCTTGGGAGATTTAATTGGTTCTATTTTGCGGATGAGGAAAGTGAAATGTCTTCTCAGGTGAGACAACTAAGAAAGGCAGGAGAGTCAGCCCTTGAAGACAGGGTGGCCGCATTAGGGAAACACCCACAATAAGCTCTTGGGGGGGAGGGGTGGCTCTTGCCTTAACCCTGGCACTCAGGGAGGCAGAGGCAGGAGGATCTCTATGAGTTCGAGGCCAGCCTGGTCTACAGTGTGAGTTCTAGAACAGCCGGGGCCAAATCCGAAACAAAGACAAAAAAACTCAACAGCCACGCAACAGTTATTCAACCACCAACAATGTCAAGGGCATATGTGGGGGAGGATGGGGTGCTGGTGGATTGTGCCCGCCGGCTGGGGGAGAGGGTCGGGGAGAGTGCTCCAGGCTGGGTGGAGTCTGGTCTGCGGGGAGACAGGGCTGTTGCGGAGAGTCTGGGCAAGAAGCCCGTAAAGTAGACTGAGGTGCCTGCACATGACAGGATGGGACATTTGGACGTGGTGCTACAGGAAGACCTTCAACAGCTGCGAAGAGAGGTGCCGACCCGAGAGGGTGCCAAAACAAACGGTAATGGAAAGTCTCCTCTCTGTCCTTTGTTCTTCACAAAGCCTGAAGATTCCGGACTGGTCATGTCTGACAGGTTCCTGCCGCGGGCTCCCTCCCAAGGCTCCTGCTGCCCATCCCCACCACTGGAGCACACCCCAGCACTCCCTCCAGCCAGCGAGGCCATCCTCTGACCGTGGCTGCAACTGCCAGGGTTGCTGTTGACTCCTCGAGACTTCCTATAGCCACCTCAACTGCTCTGGGAAGTTCTGGGAAGGCTTCCCACCTCTCAGCCTGGGTCCTACACAGCTGTTGATCTGTCTTCGCTCAGGACCAGCATCCCCTGACCCAGTCTCCCTCACCCCTGCCCTGACAGTATCAGGGCTGCCTCCCTCAGGGAGTCCTCCTAGCAGGCCCTGCCCGACCTGCTGAGGCCATCTAGCCTCAGTCATGCTCACTGCTCCCACAAACTCTTCAGTCATTAATCCAACTGAGTCCTTTTCTTTCCCAGACTGCAACCTAGTGGGAAGGACCAAAACAGACAGTACAGGCCGGCAGGATCGGCCTGGAATTCTGTTCTCACTCTGCAAGGGGCTGTGGGCAAATCATGACACTTTCCAAATTTCTTTCCTTACCTGTGGAATCCAATAGCAAAATCCTTAGAGCTGGGAGGTTTATGCCAGATGGTGCGATCAACGTGTCCCACAGGGGACTGGGATGTAGCTCAGTCAGTAAGGTGCATGCCTAGCATTCAGGAGACCCTGGGTTCCATTTCCGGCACACCATAAACTGGGTGGGATGTTCGTGCTTGTACTCCCAGCCCTCAGGAGGTGGAGGCCAGAAGATCAGAAATGTAGATCATCCTCAGCTGCAAAGGGAATTTGAGGCCAGCCTGGGAGAAATGAGATCCTGTCTCAAACAAGTAAACAAACCATGGCTAGAAAGAGGGCTCAGCAGACAAAGGCCCTCAAGGCCGTTGTCACCAGGTCTAATGACTTGAGTTCAATCCCCGGGACCCACATGCTAGAAGAGAACCAACTCCAGCAAGTTGTCTTCTGACCTCCAGATAGTGTGCTATATTCTCTCTCTCACACACACATACAAAACACATGCTCACACACAAAATAATTAAAAGACGTGTAAGTTAAATTTTTATTAAATTATTTTATGTGCATGGGTGTTTGCCTGCATGATATGCTCAATGAGGAGGTGCCCAAGGAGGCCAGAAGAGGGCATTGGATCTCCCGGAACTGAAATTCTGGATGGTTGTGAGCAGCCATGTGGGCACTGAGAATCAGGCTCAGGTCCTCTGCAAGAGCAGCCGGTTCTCTTAACCATTGATCCAGCCACTAAAAAATTAGCATGCTTCCTAGAGTCTGGCAAACAGTGAATGCAAATTGATGGTACATGCATTTTGTGAACTGAGTGAGTTTCTGTGTTCATTTTGATAGTAGTAGAGTGTTAGTATGGAACTCCCCATCCAGTTTTTAAAAGAAGGACTTGGGGACCTTTGAGATTTGCAGAACATAAAATCAAGGTCTCATCTCAAAACTGGCTGGTGTCAACAGACTGCTGCCAAAGGGAAATTTTAATGTATTCAGTTCTACTAAAGACAGAAACAAAGATCTTCCTTGTCTGGACGCCCGTTATCTCTCATCCTCACCATCCCTTACAGAAACAAAGAGGTGGATGGAAGAGGCCGGCAGCAGGTGCTGCGGCTCCTGAGCTTGGGCAACCTGCCCACAGAAGAGTCTGTTCAGCTGCAAAGGTCAAGCAGAGTCTCGGGATCCTGGAAACCTGATTTCTGGTCTGCCTGACAAAAGCCTCAGCCATAATGGCACTTTTCAAAGGTTCTGTTAGTGACAAAACAGCTTGGGAGTAGGGATCGATCTGAATTAGAAGGAGCAGAGAGAGTGTGTCAGCAGAATCTGGGGTTCTGGGAGGAACCAAGCAACAGAAGGAGGGAGCCAGCTCCCAGGCCTGCCTGCAGGATCCTGAATAAGTTGGTGCTTTGTTATTTGGCCAAGGAAGACTTGAACTCAATGCCTAGTGAGGACAGAGTTCCCAAGTCACTGAGTCCTGGGCCAGTATCTTGAGAACACCAACAGCCTCTGTCCCAAGCTCTTACCTGCAGATGACACTTACATCATGCCTCCAGCAACTCTTTCCAGAAGGCACTTCTGTTGTTTCTATTTCACAGCGGAGGAAAATGTCAAGTTTGCTTAAAGGTGCGTTGCTAGAGAATAGGGCTCTTAGGACGCAGTCTTGTGACTGAGTCTAGAACAGTAGCTTATATGTAAAATGAACACACACGCACACACACACACACCCTCCAGGACCCCACAGCTGGCTCCACTGACTCAGAAGGGACAGCATCAGAGCTGGCACAGTGAGGCTTGTGTTTAATCCCAGCTCTTTAGATCCAGAGGCAAGCAGTTCTCTGTGAGTTCCAGGTCTACATACCAAATTGAAGGCCAGCCATAGTTAAGACCCTGCCTCAAAAATGAAAAAGTAAATAAATGAAAAGAAAGAAGAGAGAGACAGGAGGAGGAGCCTCCAGCTGTAGAGCCCCACCCTGCAGCAGAAGGCGCTGAAGGGCGAATCTCAGGCATGCTGGGCTTCCTGGCTGGGGCTGCTGAAATGAGGTCACCTGCAGGAAGGGCCCTCACCAGCAGTGCCAAGCCGGCGCACAGGTATGCGCGTTATTACTGGTTTGCACAGTATGTGCTTGGCAAGTGTCTGCAGAAGGGAGTCAGGGCAGTGATTACGGCCTAACCACAGGCCGGCGAAACAAAGCCACTCATCGGCAGCAGCCAGCGAAGGGTTAGAGGACTCTCCATGGTTAGAGGAATCTCCATGCCGAGCATAACTCCTGCGAGTCCTGACGCCTCAGCCCAGACACCACCAGGAACCCTTAGCACCCAGAGAAGAAGGTCTAGCCTGATCTTCTTCCCTTGGGTAGCCTGACCAGGTCCCTTTATTGCTGTTAAAAGATGTTTTTCCTGCTTGACATAAGGTCTCTATATGTTTCTCAGGCTGTCCTACAACTTACTTTCTGTAAGTTACATTGTGTATGTGTGTGCCCATGCATGAGAAGGCCAGAAGAGGGTACTGGATCTGACCGAAGTTACAGGTGGTTGCATACCTCCTGACATGGGTGCTGGTAACCGAGCCCAGGTCCTTTGGAATGGCAGCAGCTAAACCTCAGCCACGCCTGTTCATCTCCGA